AAAGGAAGCTCCACCACAGTTCCATAGGCCCCCACCTAGGGGCTTATTCTAGACTCTGTGTTCTCCTTGTGTAGTTTCAGCATCATCATTCAGAAGATGCTGAAGCTTCTGTACCTAGACCTCCTCAGAGGAGCTTGTATCTGAGGGAACTGGAGCTGCTGTGTAGTCTGTCCTCAAAACCTCTGACTGAAATCGCAGTCTTCATACATAACATGGAGATATGGCCAGCTGGACCTCCAGGGTGAATTCATTTACCCATGGCTTCATAGGAAAGACATAGGCATTGGAGACTTGAACTCAAGGCTGAATGTATTCTGAAGTGGTCTTTTATCTAGTTGGCAGTAGACTGAAAGTTCAGGCATATAGTTTTGGACAGTTGCCCATAATGCCCAAAGCTCTGAAGCTGTTTTGAAAAGCCTTGTTCTTCATTTATAAATGTGGCTGAGTAAATTATGATACCTATCCACCAAGAAAAAAGCAAAAAGAAAAGGCCTGGACATGATTTTGCATAGATACATTGTGATACAGGTTAATTTTCCTCTATTACCTCATAAAGAGGCATAATGGATCTGTGTACCTTGGGCATATTTATTAATGTTTAGCCCCAAGTATGTTGTTTTTAATGATTTCTGTTTTACTTCTGATACTTCACATGTGAAATAAGCCATAATTTTAGCTACTTATTTATATTATATATTACCATAAGAAGCATGCCTAGGTGCTTTTTACATAGGATTTAATACAGTAATTTGGAGGTTATGAGTCAGAAGTTAGGAAAAAGTATAATTTATTACTCAATAAATGAGACAATAACTAGTTTTGAAAGTGTGAGACAAAAAAAGGAAGTTGTATTTTAGTGCTAATTTCTAAGTTTTCAATGAATAATTTTGTTATCCATATTTAAATAGTATACACCTTTAACCCCAGCACTTGAGGAGCAGAAATCTCTGTGATTTCAAGGCCAGCCTGGTCTACATAGTGAGTTCCAGGCTAGCTGGTGCTACAGGGAGCCCTGCCTCAAAAAAGACCAAAAAAAAAAAACATTAATAATAATCACTTCGTGTATCTAAGTAACAAATTTAAATTGTCCAGCTATATAAAAGAATATGGTATTTTTGCCAAAATTGCACATTAATTAATAGTTATTTATACTCGTATAATTGCTGCTAAGTCTTGAAATAGAGCCATGGGCTGCTCAAAAATGGGATTTGGAAGATTTTGGCTTTTGTTTCTGCAAAGAAGGCAAAACTAATAATCAAGGAAGTCCTTAAAGTGCTGGAGCAGAGGAAACACAAGGTGTTCGTACTTGGATTTTTTTTTTGTAGGGTCGGGAGTTTTCAAAGGGTCTGAGGGAATGAAAGGATTAAAATTTTCCTGGCCTCGTTAGACACACCTGTTGCCAATTTCTGCTTTCTCAAGTTTCTATGCTGCTCCCCATGGGCTCTGCTCCACAGACCATTAGCATTCATCATCCTTGTGGGCTCAGGAAAGCTTTGGCTGGCTTCCCTGTCTGAGCTTTGCCATAGGCAGGTTTTAGTGTGAAGTAGTTTCCTTCATTTCTGATGAAAGAAACACCTCTAGGGTGATTGAAGAAAATAAACTGAGGGCCAGAGTGGCCCTGGTCTTAAATCCAAAAGAGCAAGAATAAATGTAAAGTGTGGACATCTTATCTTAAGAGTTTGTTCACTATTACAGAATTTCAATCCAAACTTGTGCTTTTTTCTTCCTAGTTATAGACGTAGTAAAACTGAAGGCCTTCAGTAAATGGAGGTTCCTGGAGGGCATAGATCTCAGGTCACTTTCCAGCTCTCTCCTTTGCTGCACTTCAGCCCCGCACAGTCAGGCCATTGTCTCTTGAGGCCTTGAAACCCTCGGACTGTATGAGAGGTGTTTGTAAGCTAGGGATTATAAACTCTGATCATGGACTGTCTTTTATCAACGTATTATTTTGAGTGCTCACTGATGCCTTGAAACTTCTGTCTCAGTCCAGTAGGAGCCCATGATATTCTAAGTAAAGCTTAGAAAAATGAAATGTAAAGCTTATGAACTGAGGTTCCCAGAATAAAGCCACACCTATGTTAAAAATTCTGCAAGGATGATTAGAAGTTCATAAACATGGAGAGCGGGAACATTGTAGACTCAGAACTGAAGTATATTGGGCTATATTTAGCCCCTTTAATAGCCACTAATTGTCCCCCCTCCATGTCTGACTTAACGTCCTTTTGACCAACACATGAAGCCTGTGGAGATGGTATTAATAGACCACTAGCCTTCACAAGTCTAAAGCTAAGAATGGCATCAAATTGCATCTGAAACCTCTAGCAGAATTTTCCCTGCTTTGCTGTAACCTGCCTGCCTGATGTTCCCACCAATACATTTGAAAAGTGCCTTGATGTAAGATTTCCTTTTGTTCTGTAATTGTAAAATCTTCCTGAAACATTTTTTACCTTAGAAAATGGTATTTAAGGTAATCTGAATCTGTGTTTCCTGGGTCGTGGCCACTCATATTTGGCCTAAGAATAAACTCTCTTATTCCTTTTGAGGTAAGAGCTGTGCTTTGTGTTACCAAGTATATAAATTAAACTGTTCTTTATTTAGCCTGCCCCAAAGAGGTTTTTTTTTTTTTTTAAAGGGTGATATAAGAAAATTGCTTTGTGCCAAATTCCCCTAACATGCTCTAAGCATTTAGATAATATTTAATTATATGACAATGAAATCATGATATGAACCTTCAGTGCTGTTTCTGGTAAAATCCAAGCTCAATATAAAAAGGCACATTAACCAAACTTGTTTTTGTTAACTGTTTTTGTAAAATGACCCGTATGTACCTGCCAGAAGTTACAAGAAGATAAAATTCTTTTGTGTCCCCCCCCCCCCCGGCCCACTTTCTGTCCCAAGACTTCGCACATTTCTGTTTGTTAGCAGGATGATTTCTGGTGCTTGTTACAAGCGGATACTTAGGGGCTTGTTGGGCCCAAGCCAGGGTAAACACCACGGGTGTGCACAGCCTTTCTTCCTGGAATACAGTTGTATATAAGGAAGTGCTTGTACATGCAAACTTCACTTTGAGGGCTCTGGCCCACACACATGACCTGTGTACATTTCTCCAGTAGCCCTGGGCAGGGTGGCTTTCATTTCTCATTAGAAAGAGGCTGGCAGAGCCACTCTGCAGTAGAAATGAGTATCTGTTGTTACAACATCAATGTGGATGAATCTTAAATTGATTATGCTGAATGAAAAAGCCAGAGAAAAGAATACATTCTGTATGATCTCATGCTTCTAAAGTCATAGGGCATGCATGTGCCGTCGGGTGATGCTGTCAGTAAGCTGCATGTGGATTTGGAGGTCCAGGATATAAGGTATTGTTTTGATGATGATGATGTTGCAGCAATACTGTGAGTAAACCTAGGACGTCTCACATACAGATTAAGCACTCTACCAATGAGCTACATCCCCAACCATCTTCACTTTTTTTTTTTGAGACAGGCTTTTGCAAAATTTCCCACATTGGTTTTGACCTTGTCATCCTCTTGCTTCAGTCTCCCAGGTAGCTGGGATTATGGCTGGTTTCTGAGTTTCCATTGAGGGGTGGGGAATTACATTTTAATTGTCATGTTTAGGGATTCAAAGTTGAGCAGACCTGGATTTGACTGAGTCACCTGCCCTAGCTGTGTGACTTGGCGCAAGACAGTCTGTGTGGTTTTTCCATTTCTGTGAAATGGGCTGGTAGAGGCATAGTGAGTGCTCAGCAGATGGAAGCCATTGTTTATTTATTTCATGTTTTGATTCCATGGGGTTTAAAGGGCAGATAGACTTGAACAAGAACATGAAATGGCATAAGTTCACAGGGGAGCAGGTTTCCATATAGGATTGGTTCCTTTAGCAAGGCTGAGGAGTGCCAGAAAGAGGCAGAAAAGGACCCTCGCAGGAAGAAAACTCAGGCAACTTGTTTCATCTGTACTCCTGACAGGACCATTGCATCACTTGGCACCTCCTCACCTGCTGTCTGCTTTCCAGTCTCCTCTGTTCCTCTCAGGACCCATTGTTTTGTGTTTATTGTCTCTGTGTTAAAACAGAACTCTTGAGACTGAGGCTTCTCTCAAGTAAAAGGTTTGTTTAACCATTGCAGATGCTGGCCAGAGAAAGGGCCATGTTGAATGACAAGTTCTTAAAACTCCCAGCAGTTGGAATAGGGAGCAGGTGGAAACAGGTCCACTGAGCCATGCTGAAGAACATTTTTGGATAATGGAAGATTGGAGGAAGGAATATGTTGTGCACTTTGACTCTACTTGTGTAGAGATTGGAAGGATGGGATTTTGCCCAACAGAAATCTTGAGATTGAAAGGCAATCTATAAGGGGCAGGGGCAGTTGTTTGTTGCGTCTGGACTGGTTGGATTTAACAGCCCAGAAAGTTTATAGGTGCTCAGGACTCAGTGGGAGCACCAAGCCCTGGTGTCAACCTTAACAAAATTAAAGTCAGTGGTTTCAACATACACTCAGAAATGTGAACCATACTTCCCTATCCCTGCATCTGTTAATTGATTAACATCCCCTGTTTCCTCCTCACATTATCCTTGTAATTAGGACATCTCAGAATTGTTACACATCCTTGATAAAGGTTTGGAGGGCAGTCTACTAAGAGTTTCTTTAACTCTGATTATTATTGTTACTTATAGAAGCCACCAGAATCCCCTGCTTTTTCATGGTCATGGCCTAATGTTTTCTTGCCATTTGGGGTTGGGGAATTGACAGCTAATTGATTTGCCTTTAGAGGGTCCTGGAATGGTCAAAGTGTTTTCTGTATTGGAAAGGCATGCCCATTTTTTTTTCATAAGTTTTAAGATTTATTACCTCACCCTAACATGTTGCAAATTAGTTCTTTTGCTATTTATTTTGCTCAGATTGTTGTCATTGATGTCATTAGCTGAAGGGCAAATTTGATCCCAAGGGTGATAAACTGCTTTATAACATTGTGTGACTTTCTTTGGTGTCCCTGCAGAGCTGGAGGTCCGGTGGGTGGACTGCTACTTTCCTTTCACTCATCCTTCCTTCGAGATGGAAATCAACTTCCATGGAGAATGGCTAGAAGTTCTTGGCTGCGGGGTGATGGAACAGCGGCTTGTCAATTCAGGTAGAAAAGAACCCTATATTGCATTTACAGGTCTTTAAAAAGACTCTTCATATAACCTCTTTTGCATGGTCACTTACAGACATGTCCATACCCTTCTGGGGGCAGCATCTCTATTCTCTCAGAGTGAACTTGCTACACTCCTCTCTGATGCTGTGCTGTGCCAGAAAGCCTTGTCACACCTCATTTTGCAAAGGTTATCTTTGGCGATCTTCTCTGTCAGCACTTGGCTGTTAGATTTGTCTTTGCCCAAAAGATGTTTGATATGTGTCACATGAGTGCAGTTTGCCTTCTAAGATATTCAAGAACAAAGCTAGCGTAATCCTCTTTTGTTCTTATTGAATGCACTTCAGTACCCAGGCTTCAGAAGATGTTTCATAACTATACTACAACACTATATAAAACCACGTGGACCCATGATGCTTAGGTGCTCCCCATCCTCAGTGAAGGTAGCACCATCAAGTGGGGACAGTGGGAAAGACAGGTCACTGGTTAAATTGTAATCAAACTTGAGAAATAAAATAAAAGCTGGACCATTTCTTAATAAAATCAGCATCATTTAAGGGCTAGAGAGATGGCTCAGTGGTTAAGCCATCTCTTGCAGTAGACCAAAGTTCATTCCAAATATCCATGCTGGGTGACTTACAACTGCCTGTAACTGCAGCTCTGATGACCTCTTCTTGCCTCCTCAGCACCTACACACAAGTGCACAGACATACACATGCATATTAATAATAAAGTAAATATTAGAATGATATCTGTGTCTAGATTTTAGATTGAATGGATGTTATTAGAGAACAGTAAGAAATATAAGAAATGAATAGGAAAAGTAAGAAAAAGGAAGAAAAGGAAATCTGTAGACATAAGTGTTTTTCAGCGGAGAACAAGATGCTAGCTGGGTGTGAGTCTAACATCTTGTGTAGATCCACTTCAGATGCCCCTGTGGCTTTCTGTGTACCTCGTTTTTAGATAGAAGATTTGAATAAGTCCTCGGCTTTTTCCTAAAGTTCCTTGTGTCAAGTGCTGAGACATAAATGTGGCTGATTCACTTGCATGTCAGTTGTCATTTGGAATCCTGCATTGCTGGGCATAGTGAGGTTAACGTCCACAGTAATTAACTGATAGTCATTATCGCACCTTAGTGACATGGCTTTGCAAGATCAGTCTTGCCAAATGTCCCTGAAAGTGATGGCAAAGTAACAAACAACAACAAAACAGAGTGACACAGTTATGCATGGTGATGACAGGATGTACTTGAGGTTTTATCTTACAGAGAAAGTGACTAAAGAAATGGAGGAAGAGTCGATTTTATAAAAGAAATTCTGCGTAGTATTTGCTATTTGAACTTGAAGTTATTATGAGAAACTTCTGCTCTGTTCCTAGACTTGAACGTGTTGTGACTCCTATAGTTAAAAATTTAAATATGTGCCTGGCAGGCATAACCACAGATTCTACTTGCTGAATACAAGTGATTTTGTTCCTGGGTACCTGAGGCTGAAGGAGACTGACTAAATGTGCACCATCCTCCTAGCTCAGTTTTGCCATGCTTTCCTCCCCTTTTCTTTGTCTCCATCTTCCCTCCCTTCTCTACCCCCTTCTCAGTAATTCTTTCTCGTAAGAGAGAACTTTCTGTTTTTCGCTTGTTTTTTTTGTTTTCAGTCAGGTTTTCATGCATCTCATGCTGGCCTAAACTTCCTCTGTAGCTGAGTCTGGCTTTAAACTCCCGATTTTCCTGCCTCAGTCTTCTGAGTGCTGGGATTGCAGATGTACACCTCACTTAAGAGAGAACTTCTAAGAAACAGCGTCATCAGTTGTGATTTCTTTTTTTTTCTATTCTTTTCTTTTTCCCTCCCTCCCTCCCTCCCTTCCTCCCTCCCTCTTTCTTTCTTTCATTCAAGTTTCTTGTAGAAGATCAGGAAGGTGTTGAAATAACCAAGACAGAGAAGTCGATGGCAGAGCAATGACAGTGACAGGCATCAGTGGACTCTGACTCATGCCAGCATCTCAGAAAGCATGCTCTTTGCCTGCTTCCATTTAATCTTGCTAAAAAGCTCTGAGATTTTGGCATTACCTCCATTTCATCGTACTTGAGAAAGGAGACCCTGATCAGGTAGCTGGCTTGCTGCTGCTTATGAAGCTTACCCATGTCTTTCTGATAGTGGTTAACTACCATGTAATGCCACCTGAATAATGAAGTGCATGCTTTTGCAGAGGTTAAAAAGTAGATTTCAAACAAATTGTTCTATATAATGTGAAGTGAAGAACTGAAACAGTGAACAAAACTTCACTTGTTCTGGAACTGGTTTCCTGTGTACAGGACTCTGCCACCTGTATACCGTCTCCTATGATGCAATGTGTGTAATTAAAGCAGGAAATAAGATTGCTAATTTAAACTACCAGTGCACACTGGCTGACTGTAGCATATGTGTTATAGTGTACGGAGTGTGGCTTTTCTACATGGCTCATGGAATTTTGCTTTTTCCTCTTCTTTCTTTCACCATTACTTTCAGGCTTCTTAGACTTAGTAATTGTGATGTGAGTGGTGACTAGTCTCCTGATGGTTTGGCTGTTTCCCCACCTCATCCCCAAGGTGTTTTGAGGACAGTACTGAATCAAATTCCAATACTACACAGTTTCCCACTGGCATGACTCAGACTACTTATGCCTTTTCATATGGTGTATGGGCTACAAACATCTAATGCCATCACAGGGGATGACAGCTGCCTATGATTGTGTCAGGAAAGGATTTACCATTCATTGAACTCCTATGAAGTTTAGAAGATTATACATAGGCCAAGGTGGTGAGGAAAGGAGCTTTATAGTAGAAAATAACTTAAAAAGCTACTTCTTTGCCTCCATTAAAATTTAAAAATGGACTCTTCAAACCATTGCAGATCCATTCATGAACAGTCTCTAGCATGCACAAATCAGCAAACAAGGATTTCTTGAAATCATTCTAAGAATGGAGACTGAGTAAGTGTTGTTCCTTTGAGATTATCACAGCACACAGACATAGATGATGATAGCAGAAATAGTGAGAATGTGATAGCAAAGAGGAAGGCTCAGAGAGAATTGTGCTGGGCATTGTCCTGACTACCTTCAGGGCGAAGACTGACAATGAGACAGGGATTGGAAATATGAATTTCAAGGTAAGTTAGGTTTTTGTTCCAAGGTGTTGATGTTATCATTGCTCTGCTCAGTTGAGAGACCTGCTGCTCTTTCCTTTTCTAAGTGTGAAGGGGTTTCCAGTCTGTTCCTTGTTGGTCACTCATCTCTGTAGTCTCTACACATACTTACATGGTTTAGTGTTATTACTCTAAGTTGGTGGACTTTTAGAGGGCAATACTCAAAGCTGTACCAAGGTAGATATGTTGTTTAATAGTTTACATCTTTTGCTTGCAAGGCAGGTCATTAGACAAAGGTTATAAAAGTGATAAGAAGCACCCCTTTTTCTGGTGAAAATTTTCAGTATAATAGTTTGGATCTGGGGTGTTCCCCAGACATTAAAGGCTGGGTCCCCAGGTTGGTGTTGTTGAAGATAGGGCCTGCTGGAATGAAGCACTGAAGCCATGCTTTTGAAGGGTCTTTTGGGACTTTGACTCCTTGCTTTACTCTCTGATGACTGTGATGTGACTAGCTTCCTCTACCATGTGTTCTCACCATCGTGCTACTGTACCACAGGCCCCAAACACTGAGCCAAGCAGCCATGGACAGATACCAGCAGAGCTGTGAGCCGGACCATGCTTTTAACAAAACCATTTTGGGGACAGATTTTTTTCCCTAATTTTGGTATGGTTGAATAACCATAATCAAAATAATTAATATTTTTGTTATCAACATGTTTCTTCATGATCTTTTTGTGATCTGCTCTCCCCAGCCTTGTCTTGAAGTCACTGCTACCTGCTATTGTTCGGATTTCCTTTTCTAGTACATTCTGTAAATGCTGTCATATAGCCAGTATATGTTCTTTATGCATGACTTCTTTCATTTGACATACAGCAGTTTTGAGTTTTTCCTGTTACATGTATCAGTCAGTGATGTATCAGTTCGTTGCCTTTTGTTTTGAAAAGCACGCCATTGTGTAGACATTATTCAATTTGTTTACCTATTCATTTGTTGATGGTCATTTGGATAGTTCCAAGTTTGAGGCTATTCAGTACAAAGCTGCTATAAATATTTGTGTAAAAGCCTTTGTGTGGACATGGTTCTGTTTTTCTGAGAAGAAATCTATGGTACTCTGTTCTATAAATTCAATTATACCAAACTAATTGCTTACTGATCTTTTTTTTTCCCCCTTAGTATTCTATCAGTGCTGAGAAAAAAAAGTTTTCTATTGGAATTATGGAGTTGTGTATTTTATTTTTTATTCTGTCAATTTTTCCTCATGTTGTTTTGAAGCTATATTCTTAGGTGCATGTATTTTTAGAGTTGGTATGTTTTGCACAGGACTTGCTCCTTTTATATGAAATATACATCTTTATATGTGATAATCTTTCTTCTCAAAGCTTGTTAATATTAAAATATCTTTTTCAGTTTTATCTTACCCCCTCCTTAATTACCTTTATGTTGTTGTATTAACATATGTTATACCTATGTACACTGAAAACTTTATAATTTAGTGTTAAACTTTTCCTTTAAACAGTCATGTGCATCTAAAGAACTTGAGATGAAAACAATATTCTTTTGAATTTCTATAGCTGTTTCCCACTTTTCTTCTTTCCTTACTTTTGAAGATTCTTGTTTTTTTCTAGTTCTTTCTCCCTTGGTATGAAAATAGTCTCTTGGCATTTCTTAGAGACTGTGTCTGTGGTGTCTGTGTCTTAGTATTCCTTTGTCTGAGCATGCCCTCATTTCCTCTTTATCATGGAAAGAGAATATTTTTACTGAATGTAGAGTTATGGATTCATGGCTGTTTCCTTTTTCTTAGTAATTTGGAAATGTTTTGTCTTCTGCCTCTGATTTCTGAATGCAAATAAAGTACAGTTTCAGTCCTTGTTCAGTTC